AAATCAAGTGAGAAGTTGGCTCATTTCTCCATAAGGCTCAATACTATCAGCTTCTTTGTGCAGCCCATGGAGCTGCCCTCTGCTGGTCATTAGAAACAATACCCTTGCATATTGTCTTCATTACACAGACCTGGAAGCTCTGTCCACAGACGATATACTGTCAGTGGTTCTGACCATTATTTGTAAGTTACTTGCAGGTTTCCAATATAACAGCCCTGAGAAAACTGGACAGCTAAGCTTTGAGACAAAATAATAACAATAATTCAACTAGCTATTGTTGTCTGTGGACAAATGTCTCATGTGAATCTGTTCAGTTTAAGAGCTTCCTCTGAAGAAAACATTGTTTGATAGTAAATTTCTTATCAAGCCTTATCATAGGCATCATATTAGTGGTGGACAATGGTTGCACCATGTCCAATTGGTCACACGTCGACAAATCCATTGATGTGTCTAACTGTGGTTGTCGTAGCGACTTACTCAACTTTAATGTCCACAACTGCTTGCTGTGTGATAATGCATCAAATTAAAATGTTTGGTTTTTTTAAGCTTCGTCTAATAGACGAATACCCTGAAATCAGAATTTCCTGCTGCTAATAGAAATATAAAGGTTGCCTATAATAACTCCCCATAGTAATCACTTATTACTCACTTGCTGAGTGATCATTTCATATGCTGATCTCATCTTCACACTAGGATAGGATTGAACCATGACTAAGCAATATGAACAACAGACATGACGTAGAATGGTTATGCAAATTGTAATTGTGCTCATTATACCCTTTGTGATGGGCGCTGGATGTTTGGTTGAACTTCTAGTTAAATATCACTGGCTGTTTAGCTGTACTCATTTGATGATATAGAATTCAGACATTAAAATGACATGTGATTTGAGTAAACATCAGATTATGCTGACAGAAATATTGCTAAATAATGCATTAATTAGCTTTAAAATGACATAACATGTTGTCCTTAAATTTTGTGACTGTCACATTTGGTAGCTCAAATGTTAAAAATGCAACATAAGACCTGCAAAATCTTGGCTTCTACATAGAATCACCATATCCCTCATGAATCATAAATGGAGGACATACACTCCTGAACAAAATCTTAAGACCGGGGGAAAAATTGCACCACCACCAACGAATACTTGCAATTTTTCTCTCGGCCTTAAGATTTTGTTCAGGAGTGTATGTGGTAAGAATATACAAGCCACTTATCAGATCACATCAGCTCAGTGCATGAAAACATTAGTTTTCTCGAAGGCGGAGATGAATAACAACAAATTAGAATTCCTAGACTGTGCAGTCTGTGCTTCACTGCTGAGAATCTGCTTGTAATTGAGGATTCAAACCTTATCCAAAGGGCTTTGTAAACTTGTGGTCACCCTGATTGGGCATTTCTTAAAACCTACATTATGTTCAAAGAAAACACCAGATTATACAGAGCACCAACACAAACAGAACCACATTCACCCTTTGTGTGGCTGCTGACTCTAAATACAAGCAGAGAATTTGTTCCACGAATGATGTTCTAGTATTTTTCGACCCTGGCAGTAAAGTGATCAGTGGAGAAATTGATAGTGCAGTGAAGTGCATTATGGAGTGTGTAGACCTTTACGTTGGCAAAACCAAACAACCCCTTTACAAAGAATGCATTGGCTGACCTGAGCAAACAGCTCTGGCTTTCACTTAGCACTTTTCACCCATTCACAGTTTTGGAGATCAACATGTTTGACTGTCAGGTTTATTCTTATTATCATCATCATCTAAATCTAAAGAATTATGAAATAAAACTATTACCATATTGAATTATTCCAATTACATCCCTGATAAAGATGAATAATGTGTCATACATAAGGATCCTGTGTGTAGGATCTATTGTCAGAAATGGAATATAATATTCATAGGTATGTTTTCATTAACATTGATATAGGACTCATTGTGTTTTTGTTACCTTAGAATGAGCTGTTTTTTATCTACATGTGCCATATGCTGCTGTCTGGCAAGAGATACAAAAGTATCTGCTGCCGTACCACCAGACTACAGTGCAGCTTCTTTCCTCAGGCTGAGACATCCTGCGCACTCCACCATACATTAATTTTCATGTGTAGCATGAAGGGACTACAACTTACATTTCATTGTGCAGAATGAGAAATAAATGAACCTGGACCCTTGATAGGTCTCTTTCAGCAGGTCAAAATATTGATGAATCCCAGCCAACCTTTTGTAAGAGTGGAGATTCTTTTCTGATCATTTTGATATGAGGACAGACCCACCTGGTTTCAGCGCACTGCTAGCCAAATGTTTACGCCCTGAAGTGTATTAATAGCTGACGACATGATCCTATTATAAAAAGTTACACCTTCATGGTCTCATCTGAATACTAGGCATTATGGAGCACTAATAAGTCCATTCATCACCAGGAGTAAAAGAAAAGGAAGGATGGAGGAAGAAGAGGGTGAAAGAAGTGAGTAGACTGGTGAGGGAGGGAGTGGAGAGCGAGGCAGGCACTGTGTGTGTGTGTGTG